CACGTCACTTAAGGGGTCAAATGACCTCCAAATGCCAAACGGATGGTATCTTTGCGATCAGGACACTGAATTCTGCTAGGTCGGGGCCACTCGTAATTGAATCGGATGAGATCGGTCAAAAGAGACGACCGACACCCGAAATTAAAGCGCGAGGCTGATCAAACGATATCGGATCAACAAACAGACTTCATCATTGTGTTCAGAACATTGCAAATACTCAAAAACTGTATTTTATTTGTTCAATTTGGATCATCCTAATGAGTTACATGAATTTCGAGACAACGCGTATTTCGAGGAAATCAGGCATCAACGTTTCTTAGATGATGTCCGATCATGAAACGAACTATGCCATTACGTCCGAAACGTCCTCGACATTCAAAATATACATCTTTTGTGATTAATTGGGATCAATCGTAATGGTGACACAGATCCCAATGTAATAACACGCATATCAAGGAATTTGGCCCTCAATGTCGCCCAAACGATTTCAGATCGACAAACGGACAGTGTCATTGCGTCCGAAACGTCGTCTACATTTGAAATTATATTTTATTTAATGAATCTGGATCGTCTGAGATGGTGACGAATTTCTAGGCGATGCAAATATGATATAAAGGCTTGTGTTACGACGGAAACGAGGCCTCGAAGATGCTCGGACGACGTCCGATCGACAAACGGACAACACCATTGCGTCCGGAACATCGTCTCCATTAAGAATCTACATTTTATTCTATCAAATCAGATCGTTTGAAGTGGTGTCGTAAATTTCAAAGGTGATCCAAATTTGATGTGAAGGCACGCACTACGAGAGAAATTAGTCTCGTCGGAAACGACACGATGTCCGATTATTAAACAGATAGCGTCATTACGTCCGGAACGTCGTCGGCATTAGGAATATACATTTTATTTGATCAAATTGGATCGTTTAAGGTGGTGTCGCAAATTTTGAAGCGATTCGAATATGATGTGAAGGCTCGTGTTTCGATGGAAATTAGGCCTCGTCGTTGCCCAAATGAAGTCCGATTGAGAAACGGACTGTGTCGTTGCAACCGGGACATCGACAATACCCCAAATCCACTATTAGTTTGTCTAATTCTAATACTCGGCAAATTGACACATAAAACGAGGTGAAATACACACGACTTTTGACGAAATCGTGCAAATCAAGATTATTTCAGTGACTGAGACGTGATTGTCTTCCTTAATTAATGCAATTATTAATTAAGGAAAATCATTATTAATGTTATTCATTAATCTAATCAAAAGAGGAAAGTCAGAGAAAATCTCCCATCTAAGGCTTTCTCAAGCTGCGGATCCCATCTACTTTCTCCTGTGCCGAGCATAATAAATCCTACCCCTTCTACTTGACCTATCCAATTCTCTGCCGACAGCAGCTTCTTCCCTATTCCACTCATACTCAAAGCCAAAGATTCCCTGCACCATACTTTTACCCATTCCTAACTCCTCCCTAAAGCTACTATCAGCTATTTCCCAAATCACCTCCAACGCTTAAACCAGATCATAGTTCACCCATAACTTTCCTTAAGTTGGTGGACTAGCAGCTCTCAAAGTCAAAAAGGAAATATATGTACAGTAAATCCTACTATTTTCCTTTGATCTCTACACTCACCTTTGCTTTATTATTTATGTTATGATTGTTACTGTTTATTAGTATTATTTAGAGTTGATAATAACAGTTGCTTGCATTATATATATGTGTATATATATATATATATATATTTGCATGCATGTGTGTGTATGAATCATTTTATGTTATTTGGTTAGTTGATATTATATTTATTATTAGTTATGAGGATAACAGCCACCTGTGCTATTATTAATAATTTATTAACGTTACAAATATTTTGGCTTTTATTATCCGTGGAATTCTTTGAAAATCACTTTCAAAATTTATGATGATTTGTCATATATCCTTTTACCATCTTTAGCTGTGAATATTAGTTGTTAGGGAAATATACAAAAAAAGAAAAGAGAAAGAAAAGAAATTTTTTGTCTCAATTTTCGAACCCTTGTTTGCTCTCTTACCT